TGTTGAGCCCATTTCATTAGTTATTAGGTATAATTTTTGTAAGATTGTGTGCTTAGGTTGAAATGTTAGACGGCTGGCCGGAAGGCGAGGAGACAGAACCGTGGCTGACTCTTCGCATTCCTTGGCAGTCGATCGAATTGTCTTTAGAAAAGACTGTTTAAGCATCAGTGGAGAGACCCGGTCAGGTTTCGCTTAGCGCGACAAGGCATGTCCGGCAAGATGCCAACCTCAGGGATTTCGCACGCGCAGCTTTCGCAATTGGAAAAAAGCTGAATCTTGGAATTGAGAAAAGAGGCCGTTTCAGGCACTCTGTTTCTAACAGTTGCCAGAAACGAACGAGAAAAACCAAAGTGTGCCTGCGGAAGACCTTGGGATGGCGCCATTGTTCTTCCTGTGCTTCATGTTTAGCGCGGGTGAGTACTTGTCTGTGGTCGGGTCACTGATGGCTTAGTAGAACTTTTGGGTTACATTATTTTGGTGGTTTAATGTGTTTTTTGATGGTAGAGGTGTATAAGTGTTTCAATTTTATTACATATATTTCATTTTTGTTGTTGTTTGGACAACTTGAGTTTTTGTGACCCTCCCAGTGAAACATGCTTTCCACAATGTAGGTTAAGAGATATCCACAGACGTCCGATAGGGGGTGAGTACAGTCCATGCCCCCTATCACGGCACAACACCTGCGACCAGCTTTGAGAAAGAAGCCGCGACACTTTCTGCAGAACCCACCCATCATTTTGCAGGACAGTGCTCGGCCGCATGCAGCGCAAGCTGTGGCTGATTTGTTCGATCGATGGGGCTGGGAAGTGCTGTACCATCCACCATACTCCTTGGACTTAAGCCTTTGTGACTTCGACTTGATTCCTAAGAAGGAACCACTTCGTGGCATTCACTTCAGGCAGTAAACTGCTCCATTTGAACTATAAACACAACAGGCACTGCTAAAGGTACCCTATGACTTCCACATCGCTGGCAATGGGTTGTACACAATGCTGGTGACTGCACTGAAGGACAGTAAAACATTGAAACATTCATCTATTTTGTATCAGTTATAAATAAATAGTTGCCACTATTAAAGTTCCAACACTAGTACATGGATACAGACTGCATGGGAGACAGAAAACAATAAATGATAAACTTCAGCAATTATAGATCCTTGGAACTCTATGATGTAGTACCAAAGCTCTGCTTAGTGGATTGGACAGACAAGGAAAATGTGAAGGATTTTTCCTGCTATGG